ATGTAATTTGTATAGCACTTTGGGACCCTTTTGGAAGAAAGACACTATAGAACAGTCAGATAATTTGCATTATAAAGGTTCTGGTGCCTGTTTCTTGGATTAGACTCTTTAGGTTTGTATAATGTTTCTATATCAGAAGAAATAGCAGCCAAATTGGGGGAAAAAGTATTTTCCCTGAAGTTAGATATACATTCCATATATTAAGTAATTCTATATTCATTAGGTTTCTGATTTTCCTTTTAACTTCCAAAACACACTTCTTTTCCAGATTCTCTCTCATTGTTTAAAAACAAACCTTTGGAACATTCAAATTAAGGTGTTGCTTTTTGAGTTTAACATAAACATTGCTCTTTTCCAGCAGTAAACCCAACTGCAGAGGCAATTCCAGCACCCAGCTTCCCAGATCTTTAGATGAAATAGCACAGCCACTCTCTTTGATGGGAGAGTCCTTCTCTCATATCAGCCAGCATCAGTGCTTCCTACAAACCAGTATCCAGTTAGGGCCAATAAGATTGTTCTGAGGCAAAATGTTGTATTGCCTCTTCCTACAGAAAAAGTGCCTGGAGAAAAGGGGGGCTGAGGTAAATTAGAATATCTGAATAAGGGAAACAACATAAGTAAAAGAGGTGTTAATATAAAATGAACTGTGAAAAATAATTTCTGAATCCTCTGCCCTAGATGTATTACAGATAAAAAATAAGATTAGCTTCATTGACTTCAAACCCCAGTTTATGCCAGATAAGAATCTGCCTGACTTAATTTTACCCCTTACCTTTTTAAACAAGCAAATGACAGTCTCTATAGCCTCACCTTCAGCAACAGGTGAGCAGAATAGATTCTGTACCAATAATAAAAATCCATAGTTTTTATATAACTTTTAGCTTCTCTCAATAGCTTAAAAATGCCACATAGAGTGTTTTTTACCCATATTGTAACACCAACTACTTCCCTGTACAATAGGCTTATTCCAGACTTTGTTGGAATTACTCCAGATACATTCAAATGAATGTACAATTTCTCAGTATCCCTCTGACCAAAATTATATATGTGTGCCATACGGTCCTGTGCCAGCACAACACTAAACGGTCACACTTTCATGTCATTCCATATAAACAGACCATTTTCCTTTTTTAACTAATATTTTATACTGAAGAAGTTATTCAACATGATACTTCCAAGTGGGGGACACAGTCAGAACTTACACTTTAACATGTACAAAAAGAGTATCCTATTTTAAGCTGTTCTGAAGAATTCCTGCAGTTTATATACTTGCAGTGTTAGGACTGACTGGATCTGCTTCTTTATTGCATGAAAATCTAATTATTCTGCACTTTCTCCCACTTGGAGATGGACCAAAAGTCCACTGCAGTAACCACAAATCTAGCTTTGGGTCAGGACCTTATTTCATAAGAAATTGTCTGCAGTAGGACTTACTGGTGGTGCAAGCAGCTATTCAGCGTGGGTATGAATGTCACAGTCTTGTCCTGAGAATTTTTTAAAGAATTCTTCCCTAACTTATTGTGCATGTTCTAAAAGTTTGAGCAAAACCTATAAAAAAGCTGATGCTACAGCAAACTGCCCTAAGGAAATACCCCAGTAGAGAATGTGACAATGTTATCAAATAAAACAAGATAGACATCTGTTATTTAAGTTATTACAAAGCATTTGGTGTCATACTCAATAAATAATATTCCAGGAAGTTTAAATGTAATCCTGATGGACACTTAGCAAAAATAATTTTAAAATGAATAGCATATGTGGTGCATATCTGACGGTTTTCCACTCTAAAAAACGAAAGAGAGCTATTTGTGCCAGAAATTGACACTCTTCCAGTTATCGCTGTGCTCCAATACAGTATACTGTGTGCATAAAATATCCTCCAGTTTAATGTGCAACAGAAGTGGGGGGTGGGGGGGGGGGTGCTGTGGTTAGGAATTCCAGGCTGCTGTTATTAAAGTGCCCTTCGTTCACCTGCTCCATCCAAATCAACAGTGCGGTGATTGGCGCTTGCTCTCGTAAGCGGGTATTGTGTGAGCAGTGGGCAGCTGGAACCCTCCGAGAATCTTCACTTGTCAGAGATGAATCAATCATCTCAAAAGATGTCAGCATCTGCCCAAACCATTTTATATTAGAATAAATGGCAGATGGTGGTGTTTTTATATTTAATCAGTTCCACCAAATGCAGTTTCATCTCTTATAAAACTAAACCATCTGCAGTGTGTAGGTGTACAAATCTAGCTAAATGCCCACTGCAGAGCCTTTCCTCTTAAAGGTAAACTGTACATGTTTAATATTTGTCAATGCTAACTTCACTAAATTTCAAAAGCTTTAACAAACCACCCTGGTTTTAAAAACACTTTTATTTTCATTTTATATTTCAAATATTTAATATGAATGGTCCTTGCCTAACTTTTGCTTTTGAATCCTATTATGTAAACCAATCATACTTGACAGTATTAAAATACTTTCTATGCAAGATCATTCCTTCCTTCTTTCTATATAACTCCAGGCCCAGCTTCATAAAGCATAGCACAGAAAGAGGCTTAGTGACTTGTACAAGACAGAAGATCTCAACAGTGGTATAATTCAGAAAAAATAAAGGTCTCACCTGGCAGAATCAGACCTGAAAGTCTTTCTCTTGATTTTAGTCTGGCTTTTAATACTAACTCCTGTAACACCTCATAGACAATCTGATCGAGCAGACTAGATTAAATGGACAGGAAAGTGAACTGAGAACTGGAAAAACTGTTGAGATCAAAGGGCTCTGGTCAGCAGCACAAAGTCCAGTTGGAAACCAGCCATTAGTGGGATATCATGACGTTGATATCTGCAACTATACTGTTTAATTTCTTCACTAAGGACCTGGATGATGGGGTCACAGTGCACCCACAGCAAGTTTGCTGCCAATGAGAGTGGTTGATGAATCAGATATTTCTGCTGCCATCCAGGGGGACCTCAACAGGCTTGAGAAATGGGCCAACAAGAAAGTCATGATGCTTAAACAAAGGGAAATTCTGAGTCCTGCAGCTAAGGAAGAACAACCTCATCTGCCAAGATATGCTGAGGGCTGACCAGACTGAAAGTAGATTGGCAGAAAAACATCTTGATGAGGACATAAAATTGAACACACACCCACAATGCACTCTTGCATCAAGGAAGGTGAACAACTTCTTGGGCTGCATCAGGAGGGAGTTTTGCCAGCAGGTCAAGAGAGACGATCCTTCTCTGCTCAGCACTGGTGAAAAAATATCCGATGTGCTGGATCTAGTCCTGGGCTCCCCACTTCAAGAGAAACAGACATACTGGTGCACATCCAACAGAGTCACAAGGATGGTGAAGTGACTGGAGTCCAGTTGTGCAGAAACTACTGTTCTTTATAATTTTTTTGTTTATTTTGCCCCAGCTTTTCCCTTTGTGGCTTTGCTGACAGTAGCATGAAAACACATACAAATTTCAAACAATTTCTTCAACAAAACCTTAGCTATGCCATAAACTTGCAGTACAAGATACAATTTTCCTTAGCACCATGGCAATAAACATGGTATGGCATTGTTAAATTACCCTTACTTTTCAATCCAAGAGTGGCTGTGCACTGGGGAATGGCTACAGACTACAAGAAATCAGCTGGCGTGGGAAGTACTTTGTAACCTTTCTACTTTTTCTAAAGAAAGTGAAGATGTGAAAAAATGAAATGAGACTGAAATATCCTTGAAAAGGAACTTCCCAGGGAGCCTCTAGAAATAGGGGCAGAGAAGATATGAGTGAGGTCTACCAGGTGAGGTCAAGCCAATGGCCCACATAGGCTGCACAACCCAATAGCATCAGCAGGATGGGAACAAGATATGCCAAGCACACCTTCCAGACAAAAGAAAGATCTCATCTCAGAACAGTTTACACTTTCCCTGTCTTCCATCCCACAGCGGAGAGGATCAAAAAGTGGTTTATGTTTGAAGGATAGTTCCTTCCCAGGGTTTTATCAGAAGCAGAGCCCTTTGCTCAAGGTCATCTATCCTGCTAGCACAGGGAGTAAGCAGACAGGTGCCCCAGCTGGGAAGTAGGGCACCCATCTAGGTTAACACAGTGGTTTCCACTTATAGCGATTCATGGAAAGCTTTTCTTCAGTTTCAGCCCAAGTGCATTCACAAACAGTCCACTCTGGTTTCAGTTTGAGTTATTCTGTCAAATACAGCTCATTTGAAACCAAGTGACTCCTGAAACTGCTGTTTACTGCGTGAAAATGAAAACTATCCCTATGCTGTATTGTTTAAGACTCTGGGGATTTTAGTAACTTGAGAGCTCAATACTCAAAACTCAGAGTTTTTTTCTGAGTTACTAATTTAGTTTGGGCCTTTTAGTCCCCCTAGATCAATCTCTTTTCCAAAAACTTCATATCTGTCTCTAAGGAGTTATTCAGGACATGTCTACACACTGTACAAAAGCCTAGCTTCAGTGTAGGCATCACTTGTACTTTTATGTCCATCTGTCTTCACCATACCTTGGTTCATTACAGCTTGTATTAACAAGCAGGGAAGTGGGGCCAAAAAAATCTATCATTGAAAAAGTCTCTTGTAAGGGTTATTGTCTGGGCACAAGGTCAGGGCACTGAGAAGACTCAAATCTAGGAAAAGGCAGAATGTCTGTACTGGCTGCCAGAGCTAGAGCCTGGGAATTTTCATACAGGCAGAAGAATGAAATGAAGCATTGATACAGTCCTACAGAAGCACATACTTTGCCTTGATAAAATCTCACAGATTAAGAAACTGGGAAGGGCAAGCTGAATAAGAAAGAAATAAAGACAGAAAAATGGAGAGGGCAGTGGGCCAAATAAGGAAGTAGGAACCAAATGACACCAAGCCCATGAAGAGCTGTGCAGCACAGGAAGGCTTGAACATAGACAGCTCCTAAAAGAGGGAAACAAAAAGCAAGGAGCATATATATTCTTCATTTTAGGAATATACACATTCACAGTTTTGTACATAATTACATATTTTTGTGTTCACTAACATGCATGTACACTTATGTATCCTTACATGTACAGGAGTGCATGTGTTATTTCTTGTGCTATTTCAGAAAAAAAGTGACTGATGTGCAAAGAGTGTTTGTCTGTTTGCTATCAGCTGTCATATGCCCAAAGAATAAATTGTAAACTGACTTTTCCAGTAGGACCAAGATTCTCAGAGAAGATGAGCTGACACTAGTCAGGGGCTTGGTGGGGAGGCCAAAGGGGCTAATACAGCTGTGAAAGCATAACAGGCTGCCAGACTGTTTATTGGAAAACTGCCAGGAAAGCCAAAAGAAGAGACCATGTTTCAAACCACACAGTCAAAACGGAGCTTGGAAATTCACCGTAAGTCTGAACGCTGAGTTTAGCACCAGCTCAGAGGTGCACTACCAATGCTGTGACACATTTTAAATAACAGCTTGGTATTTGTATAAAATTCTTAGTTGATTCATTCTAAGCCACTGACAAATCGTCATTCCAAAGGGAAAGTCTCTGCAACATTAGTTTAACCAAAACTGTTATTCAAATTTTCCGAATAGATATTTCTCCCAGAATCACACAAATGCATAAACACTCTACCTACAATATCTACATGTTTAGCTGCAAAGGACTGCTGTAATTAGTCTAGCTGCAGATCATGCCACAAAGTACTGGTCTCAGGCCCTGTCCTCACATCATTGATATTAAGATACATTCAGGGCTTTTTTATTACGGTCTACAGGGATCCTCTACACAGCTTTCAAAAGCACAATGCTACAAGAATAGTACTGATCTTAGCCCACCCAACATGTATAAATATATAGCACCCATAACAAGCCAAAATAAACTATTTCATTACTCAAAATCCTAATGATATAGGTGAGAAAGTCACAAAAGGTATGGTAGAAGAGCAAAGAATTACTGACACACAGGAGTAGGAGGGTTTTCTGGGGAAAATTTGTATCAGGGATAGAAAGTACACGTGAGAAAGCATAAAGGCGTAGGCAGGGGACAGATATGAAGCTGCTAAACTAGTACAGGAGGTGAGCTGGCAGTGTAGGCAACATCTGCCTATGGGGTTAGGAATAATTCATGCGGGGCAGCTAAGCAGGAAGACAATGAGCAACAGAGAAGTAAAACAAAACTACTACTGGATCATTTAATCTACATGTCAAGACTCAACGCAATTCACAGCTTACAGATTTAGCAGCTAACACACCCCTCACTGCAAATTCATAACTGAGCCAACTGTACAGAAGTTTTCAATTTGGCTGCACCAAGAACGCCGTTTTGTTCGCAGCACGGAGCAATGCGCGAGAAGAGGGCTCTCATTCTCTGTCGCTGTCATTCTGCAATGTTCAGCACACCGATGGTGGCATCCCAACCAAAATGCTCCTGCTTTGTGCCACCCTGTGAGAGACCCAGACAGAGAAACAACGACATGGTCACGCTCTCCAGATAACCGAGACCAATTGTGTTGTGGTCATCAAATAGTTTGCCACTGGGGAGAGGAAAAGGGACTGTGCCAATTGCTTTGTTCCAACAATATTTCTTCCCAGCCTATTTTTAATGCAGTTTTAACAGCCATGGAGGACACATTATTTGGCTGCCCAACTTGGGGAACACAACTAGCAATGAAGGAGGAGGAGGAGGAACTGCAGAAGTAATGGGTATCATAAAATATATGCTGCATCATCTTAAGCAGTCTCTTTTGTAACTCAGAGCAGAAAATAGGGGTAGAAAGTGTGAATTTTGGGGCTCAGAGTATTAATATGGACTTAGTCCCACCCACCAAATGCAAATAAATTTCTCTTGGAGAAGTGGAGCTGTTCTGCATTTATACCAAAAATAAATGTGAGCAGAGCCTCATCCAACATGATAACTACTTCTTCTGCTGATTTCTTTTGGCTTGTTTCTTTCTCACCCCACAAAACACTCTGTAATGGGGAAATGAACATGGAGCTCTCCTGCAATACATTGGATGAGTGAACAGGGGGAAATCAGTTTCTTTATGATGGGTCCTAGTATGAACAAAACCAGAATGCCTAATGAGTCCTAGGATGATGAAGTTTGAGGCCAGTCTACTATTAAATTATGTTGAACTAAAACAGCTTGGTTGACTTCAGTACATTTACACCAAATTTTGCACAGATAGAAACTGTGACTAGAATATACAGAGTCTATGAAGTTGTGGAGCAGGCCCTGGAAAGTTAGAGGGATTTCTGCTTCTTCTGATAATTAGAACTAAGCTGGATCAATCTCCAATTACACAGTGCGTAAGGAAAAAGGTCGAGTACTACTAACATGGGATACGACTGAAAAATTAATAGGAAGTTTCTCTAATTTATGAGGTTTAAAAAATAAATTCTTACCAGGGTTGGAACTAAAGACAGAGAAATCAAATTTACAAGGACTTTTTAAACAAATCATATAAAAATAGCAAAACATGCTCTTTCCCATAGTATGGGGGTGACCAGCAGAACAGATATGTGGAAGATATTCTCTAGCTCAGAGTTTAATTAGAAATAAAAATGTCATACACAATAATTAGAACAGGTGTTCTCAAACTTTTTCCAAACAATTCCCTTTGAAGCAATAGTTTGCTTACCTTGCCTTATACTCCATACCTATTAAACTAAAAATATATATACATAATCATGAACAAATTCAGACTCTTACTTCCAGCAACTTATGAGACTTGATATGGGGTGTCCAGTGGGATTCTCCATGCCTCTTACAGTCCCCATCAGAGAGCCTACTTTAAACCTTCTAAATCACTGGACTATGGTAATAATTTATCAGAGGTACATTAAAGACAGGAAGAATCATCCTGTTGCCACACAGTGATGTTCCCTGGCAAATCTGAAAATAGGCACCAGGCCAGGAAGTTCTCTTATCTGGAGCACGAATTACTATAATGCTGTAAAAGAACACTGTTCAACTAATGAACTTTTGTAAGAGAATACCTTACACACCAATGCTAAAGAAAAGTGTACAAATGCTTAAAAATTCAGGAGCCATCTGCAGATGTCAGGATGGAGCATTTGAGTCACTTCAGCAAGTTACAATTCTGTGACATTCTTCATAGTGCCCATTTTTCGAGCAGATAAGGATGGCCAGGCTCTCCAGTTTGCTCCTGGCTAGGAGCTAGTGATGACTCTGGTCTGCAGGTGTCAGAGGTGGTAAGCAAGATACTGCTGCTGCCAATGGCACATTGAAGCAAAATGAGGTCCTGTGTTCAACTGGCAAACAACTTTTGGGAGCAGACTTTGCAGAACTCCACTAGCAGCAGAGCTGAAGATGGCATTTCTATCTTGCATTAGGGCCCAATAACAGGACACCTTCCAAAGCACTGATTCAGGTCTATACTTCTAACAAGAAATAAAAGAAGGACTTTACCGCTGATATTTCAGATCACTTTAGTCTGATTCCATGTCTTTATTGCATCCTACAGGGCAATATCACAAAAAGAGTGAAGCATATCAAAACACACTTGTGCCTTTATTTGTTCATTTATTTTATATTTTTACAAGCCCAGGATTTTGGAAAAATTACTTTTAAAAGGAGTGTCTGTCTGCAGGCATATGGACCCTGAGGGCTGCAAATGACAGCACACTTTCTGAATTACAAAGTTTTTGCTTAATTTTGAAACTGAAATGTCAGTCTTCAAAAAAATTTCTTTTAATATACAAATGTTAAAGAAAAAAAAATGTTTCTGCTTAATTTATACCTACTCACATGTTTAGATTTTATTTCAAAAGGAATGCTAAAACATCCTGCTAACTGTTCACCAGTAGCCATGATTTCCAGCAACACCTCTTATGCCAGTTCCCTCATGAGTAAGAAAGGAGAAATCTCACACTATGAACCAAACTTTCATGACTAATTTTCCCATTCAGAAACTCAAAGTCGAAACCTGGTTTTGCAACGCATGTAAGCCCATATTTAATTTTAAGCTCCGTTCCCACAGAATGTATTTAAAGTTTAAAATTTTGCTGAATGGTGATTGCCACAAGTACATCTTTAGTGCTCCGTTGAATCAAGTCACAAATGCTGATTAAGTTGGAAAACTAATTTGTATCACAAGGAGCTTGAATACAATCTATAAAGGCATCTACTTTTTAAGGTCAGATTGTAAGGTCTGATACACAGTTCCTCTCTGCAACATCTCAGAAAATGTATACACACATCTGCCAAACTGGGATGCACATCTGTGGCCACTCCTGGTTACTACACAGGCAGTGTAGATCAGATTCACATCGCATATGCATGCACATTTCCTGGCTCCCTTCAGTACATGACCTACTTGAGCTTCCTCTGTGGAAGGGTATGGTTTAAGAAGCAAAGGTCACGAATTGCCCTCTTTATACTACACACCCTGCCCACAGACAGCAGGTGTATCTATGTAAGCTCCCCTGGAACATTCTGTGCTTGCAGCCATTGCAGCAGACATTTTGAAATAGGTTGTGCAAGCCAACACTTACCAGAAATTATAACCACAACATTAGAATAAATTCTAAATGTCCAGGACATTCCCTTTGTCAGCTACAGAACACAAAAAACTCTCCTATGATTTTACCTCAGTGCCATTCCCATCGGCTTAATGAGATTATACAGCAAGCAAAACACATCAAGGCTGGACTCAAGATTTGTAGGAGGCACTCAACGTGTCAGCTCCCACAATAGGAAAAAGTATTCATCAGCTTTGCAGGAGACCTTTGTGTGTATCACAATGCCTCCTACATCAGTGAGCAAGCCTCTCCTATCACCTACCGCATGTATGTAAAATATACACTGCCTCCCGTCCTCTGAGCACAATTTGAGGAGCAAAATCATCTTGCCTTCTGTCAACCCCAGCTGGGCAATAAAACCTCTTATTGCCTCACTCCTCCTTTGGCCTCCTCAGACAGCAGTGTTCAGATTTCTCTGTGGTACTACATCAGTCACCATTATCTGCCTTCAACCTTTGCTAGATCTATTACACATCATCCTGTTAATATGTTCACAAAAATAACTTTCCATCCCTGGTCAGAATTCAATGCATATCAAAAAGTCCTATAAAAGGAATAGAGCCATCAGACATCACATCATCCTGAAACAACCCCAAAAAAACAAGTTGGCTTTTTAGAGGAGACAATAGCCTTTGAACTTGGTAATTACCATCTATTCCTGATGATTCTACATAGGAAAAGCCACAACCTCCCCTGTTCATGGAGGCTGCAGATGTAAACCCTTCATTATCACTTCTGCTATATAAATGTTCTTTTGCTTTTTCATGTATTTAACTTTTATAATGGCAAAGAAACTCAATGTTTAAACCAGCTTTAATTATATATTTTCCTGAGTGTGTTGAGTGACTAACTTGTCTAAAAGGCAGAAAAGTTTGCACAAATGGGTTTCAACACACTACTTCTGACCCACAGAACTATTTCTCTCACAGGGCACAGTAGACAAAGAAAGAAGACAGAGTGTTTGGCTCACAAAAAAAGAAAAAACACCAAAAAAACCCCAAAAACAACAAAATACCAAAACACAAACACACAAAAAAACCACCAAAGATAGATAGAGTTTTCAGGAATCCAGTCACAAAGATAATTTTTGTAAAGATTACCCATGGCATTGCAGCCTGAGAGGACTACATAACTGGGCCAGGCTCCTTTCAAGGCTATGCATCCAAATTGACCCTAGTGTCCAGGACAATGTAAGATTCATAAAACACAAAGCCACTTTTGCTCAACTCCTACATAATGTGCTTTTTGCAGTGCATTAGATTTTACATGTAAAATTACTGTCTTTTTAAAGACACTTAAGCACTTTAATCTTCAGAAAGCCAAATACCTTTAAAAGTCTGGCCCATTATCAGTTGGAAGGAAATTGGTAAAAGCAATTTTAGTCATTTGTTTCTTTTCTCTGTTCATCATCAATAAATTTTTTTCATATATCAGCCTAATTTAGACTGCATGGTCTACTGAGCTGGGAATATGTTTTCACATTTATAGGGTACCCCAAAATTTGTGGCATTAGATGTGTTTTTATAATAATAAGTAAGGGAAAAAAATCAATTATTTCAGCAAAATTATACTTTCTTCTCTCAAGGAATTGATATTAAGGCCTCCAGCAATAGCTGATATTTCCTTTATCAACACCAGAACCTCCAAAAAATCCTGGAAACTGTGCACGTGTTTCCATAGTGTGTGTACTTCAGACTCTTGGAAAGTAATAAAGCATTTCAATGCAGGATATCTCTTGACTCCTTGCTTACATAAAGGCACTCTGCTTATCAGTGCAACTTCTTACATTCACATGGCTAAATCATTACTGTATCTCATGAGGTTTAATAGGACCAAGGGCAAGGTGCTGCACCTGGGTCAGGGCAAATCCCAGTACCAGCACAGGCTGGGGATGAACAG